CTTCTCTACTTAGAGTGCTTGCTCATATCCATTCCATTCGGGGACGCCCAAGCCCCACTTAGGGGGCGGAGCCGTAGGGAGACATTGCTGTGTGCAAAACCGCTGATCCGAAGGCAGCATCGTCCCTGGACTGCTGCACTCGTTCGCAGTGAGCTGTAAACGTGTGGACTGATGACCAAACCGCAGCTCTACAAATGTCCTGGATCGGAACTTGCGCCAGGAAAGCCGTCGAGGAAGCTTGGGCCCTAGTCTGGTGGGCGGAGAGGTGCGGCGCTGAGACACCTGCCAGGTCATAGCAAGTCCGGATGCAAGACGTAATCCATGAGGATAGGCGTTGTGAGGAGACCGGTGAACCTTTCATTCGGTCGGCCACTGCAACGAAGAGTTGCGTCGTCTTTCTAAAGTGCCTTGTGCGGTCAGTATAGAAGGCCAGGGCCCTGCGTACGTCCAGAGAATGCAAACGTTGATCCTGGCGAGTAGCATGTGGTTTAGGATGAAAGACCGGGAGAAATATATCCTGGTTGATATGAAATGGAGAAACCACCTTAGGGAGAAAGGCAGGATGTGGGCGGAGCTGCACTTTATCCTTATGAAAAACTGTGTAAGGGGGCTCGGATGTAAGCGCCCTGAGTTCAGAAACGCGCCTTGCTGAGGTGATGGCTACGAGGAAGGCTGTCTTCCAGGATAGGTACAGAAGTGAACAGGTGGCCAGTGACTCGAATGGAGGACCTGTGAGCTTGGAGAGAACCAGGTTGAGGTCCCACGTCGGAACGGGCTGATGTTGTTGTGGGTACATCCGGTCTAAGCCCTTGAGGAATCTAACGACCATCGGGTTAGAGAATACCGAAGACGCGAGTTCCCCTGGATGAAAGGCCGATATAGCGGCCAGGTGAACTCTAATTGAAGATATCGCCAACCCTTGCTGTTTTAGGGAGAGGAGATATTCCAAAATAAGAGGAATAGGTGCGTGCAATGGGGACGTGGCTCGTTGTTCGCACCAACAGGAGAACCGCTTCCACTTGGCCAAGTATGTGGTCCGTGTTGAGGGCTTCCTACTGCTCAGCAGAATCTGTTGGACAGAGTGTGAACACTGTTGCTCTGCCTGGGTGAACCATGGAGCAGCCACGCCGTGAGGTGGAGTGATTGCAGGTCGGGGTGACGCAGCCGGCCGTGGTTCTGCGTGATGAGATCCGGATACAACGGAAGCGGGATCGGTGTCTGAACCGAGAGTTCCAACAGCGTGGTGTACCAATGTTGTCTCGGCCACGCTGGAGCGACCAGAATTACCCACACCATTCAGCTGCATGCAGCTG